ATCTGAACCAACCCGAACTGATCTGATCCGCTCTGTGACAGTGGAAACGGGGCATAAGTGTCCCTGTGATGGACTGGAGACCTGTCTAGGGTGTCCCCCACCTCTCACAGTGACGGCTGGATATGTAGAAGCTGGTAAAGACAATGGATGGATAAAATATAAAAAGAGAGAAACAGCTGCTTTTACAAACAAATGTAAGCACCAAGACTTACACAAACACCAGTCCATCAAGCTGTGCATAATTACATGCTGCCATAGCCTTTTTAAAAACTGCAATTATACAGAATAATTACCAGACTGCAAAAATTTGGTGTCTAAACTCCTGGTTTCAGATCAGACGTTGGATAAAATTCAATTTGGAAATTCAATAGAAAAGTAAGCTTAACAAATAAGAGCTTTTATAAGTGAAAAAATAAACCAATTCTGGTTAAAGTTAATAATATTTTACATGTTTCACAGGCTGCTGAAACAAACTGGACTGTGAGCAGATGAGACAGAAGGAACAGATGTAGGCGAAGAGAAGAGATCAGCTGTTTCGCCTTGTTGCCCTGAGCCTAATGGTTAACCTTTAAGCTGAGCTGGCACACACACTTACACGTGTGTGTGTCTGCCAGTGTGTATGTGAGCCACTTGACAATGTAGTGCTACTGGAGCGTGCAGTCTTATGAAGCAACAACAAAACACTTGAGGCACCAAACACACCTGCCTCTACACACACACACACACACACACACACACAAACACAACATCCTGCAGTTCTGTTGTTCATCTGCTCATGCTATGTGTTGAGATGAAAGCACAGGTGTGTTTATCTCAGGATATCAGTATATCAAACAATTATTCAACATCTGCCACATGCTAAATTAAATGCACTGGCCACACTTCGAACACACACACATGAAGAGGCATACCCTCCAGGTAAGTCCTACATGCACACAACATAATAAGGTCAGAAAAACGCCTGACTGCTCATACACTGTTATCTGGCAAAAGCACACACGCTGCGAACGGCACAGACATTCACTCAAGTGTGCATCGTTCAGGTGCAGCGATAATGCTAACGGGCCTATTCAGGCTCCGCGCGTGTTAATATATCACTCCGACCAGATGCATCATGCATAATTCAAAGCAACAGATTTAGGGCTGAGAACTGATGGTGTTTTTAAATATTTTAAAATGAAATTGGTACCTTTTTATTTTGACTTAATTTAACAAAATGAACTGGAAGAGTGTAGTTGTGGATAGGCCTGTCACCATAACAAATTTTGCTAAGCGATTTATTGTCTCAGAAATTATTGCGATAAACGACAATATTGTTTGAAATTTGGCAAATAATTAGTAATTATTGTAAAATTTAAGAAGAAATGGTTAATTTGTTTTGAGCATAGTACCTTTTTTCGACCACCGGATGGCAGTATAAGAGTGTTTGAACCCGAGGATAGATAGTGAGGGAGCGAGCAGCATGTCTGTTAAGAAAAATGGGAAGGAGGCAACTTGATGCGACATGGGCTGTATCTCCTTTTTTTGTGGTTCTCAAAATGGCGGACGCTCAGTGTGGTTTGAGCTCTTTTGCATAGCATTTGTCACACAAAGCTTTTACTAAAAAAAATTAGTAAAGTTCTCAGCTTCTTTTTGCAGAGAAAACAACATTTTACACAAAAGCACAGGTTTCAACCGTGAATTTTGGAGCTTCGACAAGACAAGAGGTTTTTCCTGAGGTCGGCCTGTTAGCTTAGCTTCTCAGCTTAGCTGATTTTAACTATCCAAAAATGCGATTTTGGATGATTAAAACAGATTTTAAAGAGAAAAGATAAAGGGAGGGGGTCAGTGAAGAGCACCGGAGTTGAGCCTTTTGTTATCCAGTGTCTTCAGAAGAAAAAGAGACACGAAGAAACAATAAAGCGGATAAATGAAAATGAGGTTGATCATTTTTATTTATCATGTGATTAATTCATTTATTGGCTATCACGACAGGCCTAGTTGTGGATTTAAGTCCAAATTTACATTTGCCCACAAGCTGGAAACGCCGTTTGAGTGAGAGGAAAGTCAAATGTAACATTAAAAATGTAATGATTGTTTCATCTTACATGAGAGCAAACTTGGAAGCTGCTGGGAGGCTTAAAATGAATTCTGAGATATAATAAATTAATATATGCTGCTAGATTTATACTTTCAATAAAAACCATAACTAACTATAAAACTGAGTACACACAGAATTTGAGCTCTTTGAGAAAATGCAATATTTTTTTTATTTTATGAAGATTTTTTTCTCCAAATCAAAAAGAACAGTTGGAACAGGGGATTTTTTTTTTTTTTTTTAAGATTACAAAGCCACACATGTTTGTGGTACAATGTACCATGAGGATTAAAGCAATTTAATTTGAGCTTCCCCTTTCATTACATTGAAACGGCAATCTGAAGATCTGCACCAACTCTGAAGGAGTTCTAGTTGAATTACTTTAATGCATTTCAGGTAAAGATGTAGAGCTCTTAGCATGTTTCTTCATCTATAAGAAAGAAGAGAGTTACAAGTTATGCCAAATGTTTAGAAGATTCTCGTGGAAATATGATCGAAGATCAAACTTAATTAAACTCGCTGAAATACGGAGAGCATAACCAATAAATCAAACACCACTGAGGGTTGTTTGTTTGATTCAAATAATATTGACACACTGACACATACACATTACAGAGCCACGTGGGAAACGCACCATCTGAGGTTGCACTGCTGGATTCTAACACAACCCACTAATTTGACTGACTCCAACTATCATCTGTCCCTCACACATCCTGAGTCCCAGAGTATTATACCCCTGAAATGCACATGCTCGCTTCAAATCAAAGCCTTGTAAGGAGCAAACGCCCCCATCGTTTTTATACATTTTTTTTTAACATTATATGTCTAAATAAAGGTTGAATGAAAATACACGGTAGATGGACTGGACATCATTGTACAAATACAAACAAGTAGATGGATGATAAATCAGAATACAACCAGATTTTAAAATGTTTAGATAAAGGCAAAAGTGCTTTCATAAAGCAAAATATCGTCTCAAGAGACCATAATGAGGCTGACACAATCTAAGTTGAAGAGGATGCAGGAAGGTAGTGAGCATCCCCCCAAAAAATTGTTTTTAATCTTTAACAAAACCAAGGGTGTTGCAGAGGCAGGAACGAAACTAAGCAGGACCAGAAGTGGCAGAAAACTGCTCTAAACAGAGAGATACGCTGACAAAATAAATAAATAAAGAAATAAAATAAAACCTGCCAAGTGGGAAATAAAAAACCTGGAGTTGAAACACAAAGAGAATAATTTAAATGCGCGAGATAGGTGTGATGATAAAGAAATAAGCACCAGGTGAGGGGGAGGCAGCAAACAAGAGCAATAGAAACAAACTAGGGACCAGGAAAAAGGAAACAAACCATAATATATCATTATAAATTTACAAAAGAAACAAACCACAAAACATTTAGAGTTGATATATTTGCTTAATATTTTATAAACAATGAATTAGAGTAATCAAAATGACCAACAATCTAATACGCTAATATTACTTACTGGTAAATTTAAAGTTTGCAAGTCTCTTCTTCCTCCTTGTTAATAACACTAATCTCACTAAATGACTAAACTATTCACATCATTACAGAATAGAAATGGTTTGCTTTTGTGTTAACTTTATGTGAATTTTATGATTAATTTACCTTTACAGTAGATTGTTTACACATGAAAACTGCCCATCATCAACCAGCCACTAAATCTATGGTGATGTTTAAAAAAATATCTTACCATGGTAAAGACCTTCCATTTATAAAGAGATGTCTAATCCTTTTCTTAAAGAGAAATAATAATAAATTTTAAAAAAAAAAGATAAAATCCCAGGCTTCAGTGGTTGGAGCTAGCCTTCTGCTAGCCAACTCGGTAATGATGAGGGATGTCCACTTAAGTTCACAGCTCAGTTCCTTCCTCCTTCTCTTTGTACAACTACTGCTTGTACTACGACTGACACAGATACACAGCAGCACGAGCAGCGAGAGCACAGGGAAGAGGGAGGCGAGAGGAGCCGTGGGCAGGCTGCGAGCATGAAAGGGGGAGGGAGATGAAAGAGAGAAAAGGGGTAAAAAAAAAATAATAATAAGTGGGGGGAAGGGAGGAGGGGAAGTGGCTTTGTCCCTCAGGAGCATGATGGACAGGCAGAGTAGGAGCCAGATGTACAAGAGACAGAAGAGGAGTAAGGAAGGAAAGGAAACGAATGGTGCAACAACTGAGAGAAGTGAAAAACAAACCAGGGAAAAAAATTAGAAAATACTGATTAAAATATCTAGAAAATAGAGATGGAGTATAGGAAGATATGTGGAAATAGCATGAGATGAATGGGAGCTATTTAAACATTAAGTGTGGGTGTTGTCATGTTGCCTTTGGCCATTCTGTCTCACAGACACAAATAAAGCCCTGAGGAGACACTCAATTAGTCAGAAAGTAATGTTCTCAACTCGATGCAGTTCAACAGAAATCATCCATCTTCTGAGCAACAAAAAGACAGGAGACAAGTGGAATACCCGCCCGCCACTGACTTTACACATTTAATCCAATTATACTGTAACTGAATTGGATGCAGCTCGGCGAGTAAGCTCTACTCCACTGGCTTTACACATCGTTCTTTAAGACAGAGCAGTTTACTCACCATATGGGCAGAGAAACAAAAACAGTACTTTTACTTTAGACCAGGGGTCTGCAACCTTTACAATTAAGAGCCATTTCTGCCCCTTTGTTCACTAAATTAAATGTGTACGGAGCCAGAATAGGGGCCGAGATGGTGTAGGGGCAGGGCAGCTGACTCAGGACCCGAAGGCTCTGTGCTCGACCCCCGGTCATTGCACACCCCATGGTGTCTCTGAGTAGGACACCCAATCCCGAATTGCTCCCCGGGCGCTTACATAGCTGCCCACTGCTCCACCTGGGTGCATCCCAGGTGGGACGGGTTAAATGCAGAGAGCCAATTTCATCTTTGTATGGGAACATACAATGATGACAACACATGGCACTTTATTTTGTTTAATGCCTGCTAAGATTCTCGACCTTTTTGTTGTTATAAGAACCAATAAAATTCATTTTAAAGTTAGTTTTGATCAACGCTTGAAAGAACCGCTGCAGAGGGACCAACGAGCCACATGTGGCTCCAGAGCCGCAGGTTGCAGACCCCTGCTTTTGACAAATATTACTAAAAATTATCTAAAATGACAATGTGCCACAAAATAATCTCCAAATAGGATTAATGAAAATTATTGTGTTTACACTTCAATGTGTGATTGCTTAAACTGGTGCACATAATTGAGTACTCACAAATCTTCCATATGACCACATTAATGTTTAAAGTATAATTTAAGTTTCAGTAAATAAAAATCTTATTCATTTCTCAGATATGAGACTTGATAAGAGTTGTGCGTCAGGTATGCAGCATGGTAATTTACTCAAAAATAGCAGTAGATTCCTGCTGCTCACACTGGACGTTTCTGTGTCAGAGTGAACTTCTCCTTCATTCACACACACAAAAGCAAACAAACAGGCAGCCAGACATGATGAGAAATGCTCAGAAGGAAAGCAGATTATTGGGCCACTGGATTAGTAGGCCAAGATGTCACACAAATACACACACGCACACACGTCTGACTCTCATTTAGAAGGTTAGTCTAAACTCTGAATGTGAGAATCCCCGTTTCATGAAGTGCACTAACACCACCCCCTAGTGGATGTGTCATCAATATATAATGATTTAAAAACAAGTTATTTTAAAATAAAAAGGAAATGAAAAAGATGATCAGCATGAATAACGTCTATTAAAATGGACTAAATTTGACACACGTTACCAGTTTCATCAATTCAATGCAGCTTGTTCAGTTCCTGGTGAAGTCTAGCTATGAATCATTGATCATCAGTAATATGAAACAAAATCAGCTGATTTTTTAGTATGTATAACTTATCCACCTGTGACAACCTTTAACCAGATAATGAGAAAGGCAGAAGCGGCCATGGTACAAACAGAAAGCCACCAAACAATTCATCAATGAAGCTTTGTTGCACGAGTGATCCTGCTGGTGACTAATCACACAGCCAGACATGCAGACGTTGACACACAGACAGACACTGGGGCATTTTACCCGTATCTGACCTCAGCCACACTGGTTTATGTGAGCAGACCAGCCTCTGTGAGCGTGATGTCATACGTATGGCTTGTATCCAGGTGTTTCACCCCTGATCTTTGTGTCTCCAAGATATTATGACTTTGACTTCTTTAGTTGTTATGTGTGGGTGCAGCTTGTTTGTAGAACTGCAGAGACAAATCTAGAGGCTCTTTCACAAAACAGCTATGCAAAATGACCAGTCATTCTTTATGCTGCCTACGACTATTCACAAAGCCGGCCACGTCCCACACAGACGTGAGCGTTCAAAAATGCAAGCAAGCATCACAGAACCAAAGGAGGAGTGGAGCAGAACTCAGCCGAGTTGACGTGAAGAGTAATGCTTAAAATGTGTGACGGATCTCACCTGTATCGTTTTCAAAACATGACAAATTCAGTTTAGCAATTCTAATTTTTTTTTTTAACTAACTGCAAAAATGCTGTGTCATCAAATTTCCATTTATAATAAATATGTTTGTTGTCGTTTGACCCAACTGTGTTGTTGCACATCATTTGATCACACGAACTGCAAAACTGGCTAACCTTTTCACATGTCTGCCATTTTGGCTCTGTTACTACCTCGCTTAAGGCTAGGGCTGGACAATAATTTGATATTGATATATGTCACAATATACTTTTATTCAATAACGGTGATATGAGTTTTAAGCACATTTTCAATATTTCGATACGATTACAGCGTTTCACTGACACATTTCTTTTTCTGTTTGTGTTGAAGCGGCCACTTCAGTTTCAACCCGAACAGAAAAAGGTGCGACACAACTACGTAAGTGCGTAGTGATGTAGATGTTACGCAGAGCTTGAGTCCAGGAGGCGTTAGTGGTATCAGGCTAGGCAAATCTCCAACGCGCGTTAAGTTTTCCCTTCAAAATGAGTGCCCATGACAGTCAGAAAATGACTGAACAAGCTTTCACAAGCGAAGAGAAAGCAGATGACATAATTGATAAGAGAGGAAAGAATAATTTGGCAGTTTGGAAGTGGTTCAGCTTTCTAAGATCCGATAAACTGCAGGTTTGTGCTGCAAAATGTACCTGAAAGTCATTCCAACTAGCGGTGGGAACACACCTAACTTGTTCCACCATCTGAAGAGTTTCTACTCTATAAAATATGCTGAGAGTCAAAAGATGAAGCACAATAAAAGTTTGAGCCAACGTGTCCCTAAAACAAACACCCCCAGATGTATCAAAAGAGAAACACATGCAGCAAGTTTAGGTTATGTTGTTGTTTAAAGTTAAAACTATTAATATTGACAAAGTTGAGAGTTTTATGTTTATTTGACGGTGATTTCACTTTTTTTGAAGGCTAAATACAAATAAAAGGCGAAGATTAATTTATCTGTACAGTTTGCACAGTTTTTTCTGAGGCTTTTATGTTGTTTATATCGATATCGGAATTATATCGTTTTTGACCGAAATTTAAAAAAATATATTGTGATAAAAGTATTGGCCATATCGTCCAGCCCTACTTAAGTCCCCCAACTGTGCGTACTCCGTGATCCACGCGGACTCCACATATACTGTCCGCAGACGGTTGAAACTTCATACTAAAGCGTACAGATTTTAATTCTCTCATGACAAATTCCTTCATTTCTCACAATTTCAGTCAAGGCGTCGACGGAAAAGGAGGAAGAGATCGCTTGCCTCTTGGCATAAAAACAAAACAAAAGAAGGTGGGACATGAAGACAATGGACAGTGAGAAACATTTAGAATATTTTCGAACGGATTCTAGCAAGTTCGATGAGCTAGTTGGGTGCTTAGCCCTATTTCTTCACCACCAGAGCAGCCATCGCACACCTGTCAGCGCTGCACAGAGAGCAGCAGTCGCATCCTTGCGACTTGTTGCTTGGTGCCGCATACAAAATAGTTCGATGTGAACACCGTTGCCAAGCAGTTTATTGTGCAACTCCGAATACACAGTCATAAAAATTTATCTTTGTGCGGACGTGTCCGGCGGACGTCGGCTTCAAGTCCGCGTTGAGTCCCCCTCGAGTATGCGCGGACCTCCACGAAATGAAGTACGTCCAAGTATGTCGGGGCCTTTAGCAGCACGAAAGCGAATCAAGGGTAGGTTGGCTTTGACCCCCCCCTCGCTGCCTAGGTCTATTAAAAATATGACACAGAGGCAACCAGAAGGCATCTAGACTGAGGTGTTTTGTGAAAGCACCTTATGAGATCAAACAACTAGCTAAGTAGACACTTGTGTTTGCCTTGTTTTAATTGTTTTTCTTTTCTTTTCTTTTTTTTGCCTGAGAAAACAGTTTGTGCATGTTCACATTTTGTGGAAGTTTAAACTGGACAAAAGTGTTTGCATAGCTGCATGATGTTGACAGCAGAAACATGAGGACAGACAATGTGTGGAAAAAAGCTTCTGATTCTTCACCTGCATCAGCTGATACAAGGTGAACAAACCAACCTACTTCTAATGCTAATCGGATAGCATGTGATGAACGCCTAAATGAATCTTTCTTGAAAATAAACACCTTTGCATAAGCCTTTATTTCATGTCTGGCATGGACGGTCTCCTCACTCAAGGGCATTTTAGTGATTAAGACATCTGTGAGGAAGTTTTTCAGACTTTTCCTGCCTAAACACAAGCTGAAGAACGGAGCAGACAAGCAGGCACAGATAAGAGAAATATTGGAAGCCTGTATAATTTGGAAACACTTTTACAAATGCA